AATAACCTTGCAACCTAAGGTAGTTGTAGTGTATTTAGTATTATGAACATGATGTTATTATGTTATTAAGTCAACATTTATAGGCACGTACATTTCAAGTAAACTAATATAACAAGTATAAAGTATAATTATCATAAATCAATTGGTTATTTTAAAATAAAATAAAATAAAATTTCAGTAATATGCACAATTTTCCAATGCAACGTGGTAATAAATAATTAAGTTGATAACATATTTTAATTTGTCACGCTCTATTTTTAAATAAATTAGGGTAATCACGCGTTTTTGCTATTTTTCATAATACAGTGCAACTTCTCCATAGGGAACGGCCAGTTGCACGGCAAAAGTGTTCCCTATAGGGAGGGTTCCTCCAAGGGAGGTTTGAGTAATAAGTTAATGCCTTATTTTTGATTAATATTTGAAAATCAGTAATTTTAGTTTGTTTGGCTGTATTTAAATGATAATTATATGCTTTAGTCATAATTTTAACATTGATTTTCTGATTTGATTTCATTTTTAACACAATTACACAATATTCTGATAACATTAATACAAATACTATTTTGAAATATCCTTAGTTGACATTAATTCAATTTAAAATTCTACCATATCAGGTTAATATTTAAATAAAATTAAATTTACTATAGTATATCATATTGAACAATAAAATGCAACCGAGTAAATACGGTGAACTTAACATCATATTTAATTATTTGCGACATATATTACGCGTATACTATGTAACAATATACGCAGACATTGACCAATATGTTCATGATCAGCCTGCAATTAATCGTGTTTTAATCAACATAATTAATTTGGTAATAATGTTACTTCTATGCGCTCGATTTCTATTAACTGGTCTTTATTACGGCACCGGGCATTGGATACTATATTGGATATGCGATATAACCAGCATGTCCGATAATGTACAACTTGCAACTTTTGCGATCACCATATTGATTTTTTCATTGTTCTGCATTACAGGGTATATGAATTATAAGGTATCTAACTCATTAATAATTTATGCTAAATGCAATCATGATAATTTATGCCAAACTTTTCATTATTAGCAGAGCATTGCATTATAGGTGATTATAAGACCCCAAATAGTCACTATAATAGTTATGAAAAACACCTCAAATAGTTACTTAAATAGTTAGTTATAAAATGATAAAATAAACTTAAAACTCATTTTATAATGTTAAAACTGGTTAGTTTCAATGTTTATTACACAATCTAGTATCTATTCAGTTAATTTACTTAAATTTAACTAATTTAATAAAGAATTCATGTTGTGCTCTGCGATATCTCCTCAGATCATCTTTAAAATTACAACACTTTTGGTAATTTCAATGTTTTGCGTATAAAACACAAAACCATAACTCGTGATATTTAACTTTCTTTTCATTTTATATTTATTTTCATTGATAAAATTTCCTTCTGTTTCAATTATATTTCAATTATTCCTGTTTTTACGCTAAAATTCACTTAATTTTACGAAATAGTTAAAATAGTTACTAACGTCTCAAATAGTTAAATATAGTTAAAATAAACTTTCGGTAAACTGACCCCCAATACATGATCGGTTCACATCCCGAGTCTGGGTTGTTTTTACGCTAAAATTCACTTAATTTTACGAAATAGTTAAAATAGTTACTTACGTCTCAAATAGTTAAATATAGTTAAAATAAACTTTCGGTAAACTGACCCCCAATACATGATCGGTTCACATCCCGAGTCTGGGGGTAATACTATTAACCGCTAAAAATAGTTGCTATAGTTAAATGCAATTCCCTGATTATTAGGAATACATGCGTGAATTTTATAGCACTAAATTGCTGTATAATGTAAAATATAATTTACATAAATACCCGTTGAATAAAATTAATCAAGCTAAATTTAAGCAAAAATTAGCTAAGATAATTTTGAGTATTTTTCCGTACGTGTTTAATTCAACCATGATATTACTGGTGGTCTTTATAATTGGCATACACTTGATTGGTTACGCTCTAAATATGCCCTATGTAACATTATCGAGCATGGTGATTTGGGCCATATTGACCTCACTGTTTGCCATCAAACTATCAGGACAATTACTAATTGGTTCAGTTATCTGGTACATGATTATTATATTTATTAATTTAAAATTTTCTGAAATACATGGTAAAATTTTATGGGCCGTAAAGCGGGACAATAACACAGTGATGTACAGAGGGTTTCGTGAGCACCAGTATATGTGCGAGATTGTGGCCAACGTAAACAAATTATTCTCGGTCATTATATTTATACTGTATTATATGGCAACACCTGGATTACAGATGTTGCTATATTATGTACAATTGCCCAACAAACAAATTATTTTAAAATTATTTGCATGCATGTTGGTAGTTATTTGTTCGTTTGTACTTGTACTTTTAATTTTGATTAGCACTAGGGTCAATCGCTCAGCCAAGCTATCATGCATGGTTCTGCATTACAGGGTATATGAATTATAAGGTATCTAACTCATTAATAATTTATGCTAAATGCAATCATGATAATTTATGCCAAACTTTTCATTATTAGCAGAGCATTGCATTATAGGTGATTATATGCCCAACAAACAAATTATTTTAAAATTATTTGCATGCATGTTGGTAGTTATTTGTTCGTTTGTACTTGTACTTTTAATTTTGATTAGCACTAGGGTCAATCGCTCAGCCAAGCTATCATGCATGGTTTTATGCTTTTATTTGGCTAGGTTTAAATATCGTAGCAACATTTCAATTATTCATCGTAATTTGATGCATAAAATTAAATGTTTAAATTTCACCGAGCACCTTTACGGCACTCACATTGGTTTTTATTGTTATAATTTATTTCCTATGAATAGTTATGAATTTTATTGTTATGTGTATATATCAGGTTTGAATTATATTTTGATCATGGATTTGTTTTAATTTAGCTAATATAATTTTAATAATTGGTTAAATGTTTTAAATGTTATATATCATATAAAAATAATTTTATTATTTAAAAACTTGTTTTAAAATACGTGAGTATTAAAAAAATAATAATAATATATGATGACGATGAAAATATATTTTTGTTTATTTGAAAACATTGCGTGAAGTAAAAATACATTAATTTTAAATTATTTCAGATGTGCACTTTCTATATAAATCATTTTAATCGTTGACATTTAAGTTATATTTCAACAAATATTAGTAATATACTGTTACTCAAAAATTTTATTTATTAAATACTGCAATTAATCATAATAATGATTATTATTTTGTAATATAATATGGTATAAATATTTTATTTATTGTTATATTTAAGTTTATCCATTTTATAATATAAAAATAAATTTTAAAACTTCTTCGTAACTCAATGTGCATAATAAATATAGTTATAAATTATATCCTACCAAGTTCTTTTAAATAAACAAAATAATTTATAAAATCTATAATAGAGATTAGTAATAATGCAGTCAATTGATCATAGTGACATTTGCGATGCAATTAATTATTTTGTAAATCTATCAAGTTTATACTGCATAACAATATACGCAGATTTTGATAAATATGTCCATGAACAACCTGTATTTTATCGTGTTTTAATTAACATAATCAATTTGGTAATAATGCTACTTCTTTGTGCCCGATGTCTATTGACTGGTCTATATCAAGGCACCGGACATTGGATACTATATTGGTTATGCGACCTAACCAGTATGTCCGATAATGTACAACTTGTAACTTATGCAATTACCATATTAATTTTTTCATTGTTTTGCATCGCGGGGTATATAAATTATAAGGTATCTAAATAATTAAATAATTTACACTGTAAACTATTTGTTCATAAATTATGAATCATAATTAACTTTGCTAATTTATTTAATACAAGGAATATACTCGCGGCTTGTATGTGAATAGATTCATATACGCTCTGAAGTATCATCTACAAAAATTTCCATTAAACAAACATGGTCAAGTAAAATTTAAGCGACACTTAACCAGGCTAATTGTAAACATCGCACCTTGTATGTTTTATATTACCATGGTTACACTAGTAGCTTCGATAATTGGGATACACGCAATTGGATACGCTAAAAACATGGCTTATGTAACTTTATTAAACATGATGATTTGGGCGTTAGTGACCTCACTATTTGGCATTAAACTATCGGGGTTATTCTTGTTTGGTACAATTCTATGGTATACCATAATCATGTTTATCAAGTTAAAATTTGCTGAAATACATGATAAAATTTTATGGGCCGTAAAGCGTGACAATAAAATTTTGATGTATAGAGCGTTTCAAGAGCACCAGTATATGTGTGAGATTGTGACCAACGTAAACAAAAACTTCTCGGTGATTATATTTATACTGTATTATATAACAACACCTGGATTACAAATGTTGCTATATTATGTACATTTGCCAAACAAACAGATTATATTAAAATTAGGTGCATGCATGTTGGTGGTAAATTTTTCGTTTGTACTTGTACTGTTAATTTTGATTAGCACCTGGGTAAATCGCGCAGCCCATCTATCATGCGCGGTTTTATGCTCTTATTTGGCTAGGTTTAAATATACGCCTGCCATGGCCACTTATCATGGTGATTTGAAGCATAAAATTAAATGTACTAATTTTGTTGAACACATGTACGGCACTCACATTGGTTTCTATTGTCATGACTTATTCCCTATGAATAATTATGAGTTTTATCGTTACATGTATATATCGGGATTAAATTATGTTTTGATCATGGGACTGTTTTAATAAATAAATGTCAAAAATGTTTTATTGTAATTAATACAAATTAGTAATTAATTATATAGTTAATAAAAATCAAGGTTTTTAATAATTAATTAATTTTCAATGTTTTATCAATGGCTATTATTTCCATGGCTATACTTTAACATGAAACTAATGCTAATTCTATGGATAATTAACGGCCAACAATTAATGTTAAATCTATTCCATAAGAATTATCTAAATTGTGGTTAAGTAATAACGTCGGGTGTGATCTTTGTTTTAACACTTTTAGCATAAGACAACTGTCCATCAATCGTATCCAACTGTTGTTTACTATCATAACTATTATTGTTACAATCGCTAGGATTGCCAGCACTAATCTCGTGGTGGGCGCCGCCGTTCCGTCCCATCCGAAACACTGACATAAAAGCGTTCCCAAACTTTTCGGGACTTTCCTCATACATACTATTCAACGCTGTTATCACTACACACGACGATATAAGTACAGCACCGGTAATGGACTGCCACTGGACGGGCTCGTGGAATATTGTCACTTCCCATATGAATGCCAGTACGATATTAAAATTCTGTGTTACAGATATTGGCCCGGGGCTTTCATATTTGAGCGCGGTGGTTTGAAAATATTGGTTCAACACACCCGTAGCTCCTATAGACACCAATAAACTCCATTGCCTGATACCGGTGGGTACTGTCCAACGGTCCAGTATTGACAACACTAACCCACCGATGACCACAACTGTCACGGAGTACCACATGACTACAACTGGCACCGGGGTCGATTTCAGTTTACGCAAATTAATCAGCGCCATTGCCACTGTTATCGCTGCCATCAGCGACAGTATTATCCCAATCCAGCGCTTGTCATACTTGTCCCGACCATCCGAACCGAATACGAACTCTGGTTTAGATATGATAAATATACCAATAACAGCAATTATCCCGGTAATTAGCTGAACCACGTTGGGTCGATCTCGCAGTATTAGGTACGCAAATACTATGACAAATATTGGAGAGGTTTGGTAGATCGTGGTTGCGTCTGATAATGGCATTAGTCGGTATGATGTAAACAGGGTGATTGACGATGTGGTACCAGCGATGCAACGCATGAATAGGTCCCACCGGTGTCCCGGTTCCCCGAATATTGGATATTGTTTCCATATAGTTATGATAAAGTAGAATATGAATTGAAATAGACATCTGGGATTTTTTTTAAATATAAAAGTTTTTATTTAATCTTAGTTAGCAAAAGTTTTAAATATAATTAATTCATAATAACCATTGTGTGTCAAAAGTTGATTTTGTCAATTTTTATAAATAAACATTTTATTTATTTTATATAGTTTCTGAACAAAATTTTATCTACAAATTTTATCTCTAATGCCAATTTTATAAATCCAAGTGTGTTTAAACAGCAATAAATCATATTTCATTTTTATGCAATAAAATTTTTATTTTCTTAAAATTCCTCTAATGTTGTGAAAAATTTTAAAATTAATATAATTTTTGGTCTATCATCTCTATTGAACTAATGCTACTAAATCATTAGAAGTGGTCTGAAGTGGACACTCTGTATGTGTATATTTTTAACTACGGTCAATTGTGATTTGTTTTACTTATGGTAAAAATAATAATGCCACTTAATGCTACTTGGTTCTTGCTCCTTCAATTAACAACTCTGCAGTTATAAACGTACAGTAAATACAATATATTTAGTTCTGTAAAATTAATGCAATAAATTGTTGAGAAGTAACTTAGAAAATTAAATTGCATTTTTAGTCAACGAGAGAGAGAGAGAGAGAGAGAGAGAGTAAATAATAATAATAAATATTAATAATAATAATATTACCTAAAAACGAGTATTTCAATTGCGTGTAAATCTGTTAACAACTTTACTATAAGCCCTGATAACAAATATATTGTAGCGCCTAATCAATTAAAATATAACACACATTTAAAGCACATACGAATTATAAATTGATTACCAAATGAACATGTTATTTATTTAATTACATACCAATTAAAGCACATATAATACCGAACGCCGGTATGCGCTCGGGAAGCGATTTTTGCTTAACCATCGATTGACTTTCCATTTCGGTGATTGTCGACTCAGGTATGTCTAGCTTTATTGATAGATTTACCACGGTCATTTTTATAATTTAATACTAATAAGTTATATTAAGTATGATAACAAGTAGTGAATATAGTCTACAACAATTTATCAGTTATTTATCATTGTATATGATAATAATGAGAACATACAATTGTAATGTATAGATGTATAAGGTCAAGATAAATATATTATACAAATAAGCTAATTATAAATTGCAAATTCATTTTAATTAAATTTAATAATTGCATGACCACGTTTGTGTGTTGTTAATTTAGCGTTACATGACAAGATAATGTGGTTTATAAATAAATCAATTAATTTTATTGGTTTAAAATCTATAAAATATGTTTATGCAACATAATTTAAATAAAGTATGTGTTACACACTTTATGTTACAAATCTTGTTACAAGGTTTGACAATAATTTATTTAAATCTAATAAGTAATGTTAGTTTAAATAATGTTAATTTCTAAATAATTTACAAAAAAATAAATCATTTTAAGTTATACAATAATTAATAAAGTGAATAAATTGTCTATTTACAAAAGTGTTACTTCAATTAAGCATATGGCCTACAAATATATTTTTCATCGAGATAATATGCGAATGGCCAGAAATGACCTAATTATAATAAAAATTACCGTGCATTGTATTAGGTATAAAGAACATTCAGATTGATAACATTCTGGTGGCCCAACTTGGATAAATCATTGCTTTTTTTATGTTTTAGACGCTAATGACTATAATTTCTATAACTATAATTTAACATGGAACTAATGATCAGTCTATTGGAAATGTTAATTTTATAGGATTAATGCTAATTGTATGGCTAATTATTGGTCTATCGTTGTGGCTAAACCATACATGTCGAGTGTGGTTTTTGTTTTAACACTTTTGTCATAAGACAACTGGCCATCAATCGTATCCAACTGTGGTTTACTATTATTACTATTATTATTGCAACCGCTATGATTGCCAGCACTGGTCTCGTGGTTCCGTCTCATCGAAAACACTAACATAAATACCTTCACAAACTTTTCGGGACTTTCCTCATACATACTATTCAACGCTGTTATCACTACACACGACGATATGAGTACAGCACCGGTAATGGACTGCCACTGGACGGGCTCGTGGAATATTGTCACTTCCCATATAAATGCCAATACTATATTAAAACTCGATGCCACCGATATAGGCCCGGGACTTTCATATTTGCACGCTGTAGTTAAAAAAAACTGGCATAGTACACCCGCAGCTCCTATAGCCACCAATAGACCCCATTGCTTGATACCGGTGGGCAGTGTCCAGCGATCCAGTATTGGCAACACTGACCCACCGATGACCACCACTGTCAAGGCGTACCACATGACCACAACGGGCACCGGGGTCGATTTGAGTTGACGCAGATTAATCATCGCCATCGCCGCTGTCATCGCTGCGGTCAGCGACAGTATTATCCCAATCCAACGCTTGTCATACTTGTCCGGACCATCCGAACCAAATATGAACTCGGGCTTAGATATGATAAACACCCCGATTACTGTAATCACCCCGGTGATAAGCTGGACCACACTGGGTTTGTTTCTAAGTAATAGGTACGCAAATACTATGACAAATATTGGACTTGTTTGGTAGATCGTCGTTGAATCTGATAGTGGCAGTAGCCGGTATGATATGTACATGGTAATTGACGATGTGGTACCAGTGATGCACCTCATGAATAGGTCCCACCGGTGTTCCGGTTCCCCAAATAATGGGTATTTGTTCCATACAGTTACAATAAAGTAGAATATGAATTGTATTAGCCATCTGGGATGTTTTTTAAATATTAAAGTTTTTATTTGATCTTAATTGGTGATAGTTTAAATATTAGAGAGAGAGAGAGAGAGGGAGGGAGAGAGAGGGAGAGAGAGAAAGAGAGAGAGAGAGAGAGAGAGAGAGAGAGAGATTAAATACCATTAAGTATTACCTAAAAACGAGTATTTCAATTGCATGTAAATCTGTTAACAACTTTACTATAAGCCCCGATAACAACGACATTGTAGCGCCTAATCAAATAAAATACATTTTAATAATAACACACATTAAAAACACATACGAATTATAAATTGATTATAGAATGAACATGTTATTAGATTTAGATATTTATTTAATTACATACTAATTAAGGCACATATAATACCAAACGCCGGTATGCGCTCGGGTAGCGATTTTTTCTTAACATTTTGTTGACTTTCCATCTCGATCATTGTCGGCTTTGGTATGTGGAACTTTATTGATTGATTTACTACGGTCATTTTTGTAATATAATAATAATAACTATAACTTATATAAGATCACTTTAATTGAGTATGATAAAGAGTAGTGAATACAGTTAGAAACAATTTATTATTGTATTTGATAATAATGAAGTATTTTTAATAATACAAATTAAAATAATGCAAGTTTTGGTTATAAAGCTCATTATAGCATTACGTCAATCATATCATTAGGTAGTAGCCCATGTACCAGCAGTAGTAGCCTAGCAGTGTAAATGCACCTGTATAGTTGTAGCTTATGTAAAGTTAGTCGTAACCCATAAGAACATACAAGTATACAGCATATCTGTATAAGGTCAAGATCAAAATAAACTACAAGTAATCTAATTATAAATTGCAAATATTGTTTAATTAAATTTGACAATTTCATGACCACGTTTGTGTGTTGTTAATTTCGGGTTAGCTGGCAAGATAGTGTGGTTTTTAAATAAATCAATTAATTTTATTGGTTTAAAATTGATGAATTATGTTTATGCAATATAATTTATATAAAAGATGTGTTACACACTTTGTATTACACATTTTATTGCACGCTTTGGCAATAATTTATTTACCGTAATAAAATAATTAGTCGAAAATCTAATAGGTAATAGTAATTTTATATTTGTTAATTTCTGAATAATTTCCAAAAAGTAAATTATTTTAAGTAGCATTGTTTATTTAAAAAAATTTTACGTCTGTATTTTATTTTAGGAAATTTACCATATAATTTAATTGGGGACGTAGACACTTGCTCGAAACCCACTTGCTCGAAACCCACGAGCTCGAAAGTCACTTGCTCGAAACCCATTTGCTCGAAACCCACTTGCTCGAAACCCACTTGCTCGAAACCCACATGCTCGAAATCCACTTGCTCGAAACCCACTTGCTCGAAATTTTATAAATTTAATTATTAAAGTAATAATTAATATAAAACATAATAATTTTTATATTTAGTACAAGAATATTCTTTGTACAATATAATATGACAATAAAACACCTAATAATTAATAAATTAAGTAATTCTTCTTTCTTTTTTACAAAATAATATAGTTTTATTTAAATATTTTTCATGAGCGTGAATATTTTTGCAATAAATTTAATATTAATAATATTTTATATTAATTATAATGTCACTAATTACATTTATAAATTTCGAGCATGTGGGTTTCGAGCAAGTGGGTTTCGAGCTCGTGGGTTTTGAGCATGTGGGTTTCGAGCAAGTGGGTTTCGAGCAAATGGGTTTCGAGCATGTGGGTTTCGAGCTCGTAGGTTTCGAGCAAGTGGGTTTCGAGCAAGTGTCATACTCCCGTTAATTTTTTGTAATTTTTATATTTTTTGTATTTGGTGTTGATTTAACATTTAGGCCAAAAACAATAAAAATTGTCACTAGATTTATTAATGATATGACAATTGTTTAGCATTTAATCACTCATTTTACATTAAATTTTTAAACTTATTTATAAGTTTTATTATTATAAAATGTTTGTTATAAAAAATCAAAATTATTTATTGATACACAATATTTGTTAATATTTTTATAATAAAATATACAATAAATTATATAATACATATCATACCGGCTACTGCCACTATCAGATTCAACGACGATCTACCAAACAAGTCCAATATTTGTCATAGTATTTGCGTACCTATTACTTAGAAACAAACCCAGTGTGGTCCAGCTTATCACCGGAGTGATTACAGTCATCGGGGTGTTTATCATATCTAAGCCCGAGTTCATATTCGGTTCGGATGGTCCGGACAAGTATGACAAGCGCTGGATTGGGTTAATACTATCATTGACGGCAGCGATGACAGCGGCGATGGCGATGATTAATTTGCGCAAACTCAAATCGACCCCGGTGCCCGTAGTAGTCATGTGGTACGCCTTGACAGTTGTGGTCATCGGTGGGTCAGTGTTGCCAATACTGGATCGCTGGACACTGCCATCCGGTATCAGACAATGGGGTCTATTGATGGCTATAGGAGCTGCGGGTGTACTATGCCAGTTTTTCTTAACTACAGCTAGCAAATATGAAAATCCAGGACCTATATCTGTGGCATCGAGTTTTAATATAGTACTGGCATTCATATGGGAAGTGACAATATTCCACGAGCCCGTCCAGTGGCAGTCCATTACCGGTGCTGTACTCATATCGTTGTGTATTGTGATAACAGCCGTGTATAGTATGTATGAAGAAAGTCCTGAAAAGTTTAAGAAGGTATTTATGTCAGTATTTCCGATGAGACGGAACGACGGCGTAAACCACGAGACCAGTGCTGGCAATCCTAGCAATTGTAACAATAATCGTAATGATGGTAGACAACAGTTGCGTACGATTGATGGCCAGTTGTCTTATGGCCAAAGTGTTAAAACAATGATTACGCCCGACATGTATTCCTTAGCCACAACCATAGACCAATAGAATTATCCATAGAATTAGCATTAGTCTTATAAAATTAATATTCCCCATAGACTGAGCATTAGTTTCATGTTAAAATATAGCCATTAGCACTTAAAGCATTTAAAAGCAACGATTTACCCGAGCTGGGCTACCAGAATGTTATCAATCTGAATGTTTTTTATACCTGATACAATGCATGGTAATTTTTATTATAATTAGGTCATTTCTGGCCATTCGCAAATTATCTCGATGAAAAAAATATTTTTAGGTTATTTGCTTAATTGAAATAACACTTTTGTAAACAGATAATTTATTCACTTTATTAAATATTGTATAACTTAAAATAATTTATTTTTTCTTAAATTATTTAGAAAATAACCTTATTTAAACTACCATTACTTATTAGATTTCAGACTAATTTTTTTATTACATTAAATAAATTATTGTCAAACCTTGTAACAAGATGTGTAACATAAAGTGTGTAACACATACTTTATTGATTGATTTATTTAAAAACCACATTATCTTGTCATGTAACGCAAAATTAGCAACACACAACGTGGTCATGCAATTATTAAATTTAATTAAAATGTATTTGCAATTTATAATTAGATTATTTGTATAATATATTTATTTTGACCTTATACATCTATACATTACAATTGTATGTTCTCATTATTATTAAATACAATGATAAATAACTGATAAATTGTTGTAGACTATATTTACTACTCGTTATCATACTTAATATACATGTAACTTATTATTATTAAAGTATAAAAATGAGTCATTTTAAATGACCATTGTAAATATGTCAATAAAGTTCAATATACCGGAGCCGACAATCACCGAAATGGAAAGTCAATCAATGGTTAAGCAAAAATCACTACCTGAGCGCATACCGGCGTTTGGTATTATATGTGCCTTAATTGGTATGTAATTAAATAAATAACATGTTCATTTTGTAATCAATTTATAATTTATACGTGTTTTCAATGTGTGTTGTATTTTACTTGATTAGGCGCTACAATGTATTTGTTATCCGGGCTTATAGTAAAGTTGTTAACAGATTTACATGCAATAGAAATACTCGTTTTCAGGTAATACTTATTATTTCGCTCTCTCTCTCTCTCTCTCTCTCTCTCTCTCTC